GTGCCAAACCCCAAGGAGCTGTGGTGAAGTCCAGCTTCCCCCCGAGATCAGGACCCCTTGCCCTCCCCAGCCGGCTGCCGGCGTCCCCTCCTCACCCTCCTCACTCCCGCCCACGGCAGCAGGCTGGCAGCCAACATCCCGTTTTCTGGGGCTCTCTTGGTTTCTCCTTCTTTGGGCCGCTGTCTGGACCCTTGATTTCAGTTTTTATGGAGGCAGGGGGGTCTTCATTTCTCATTCTCAGTTTTAACATCTTTCTCAGGCTTTCTGTCTCCCCCAGGTGGGGGCTTCTTTTCCATGGCTGCGTTACTGTATTTGCAAATGAAGGAAGAAGGAAGGAATGACTGGATCCCCTTCTCTCCCCATCCATCTCTCCCCTCCTGCTCCATCTCAGTACCACTGGGTTCACCTCCCAGAGTACCTGCCAGGTCTCCCTCCGCCCCCTTTGCCCCAGACCCTGGGCACTCCCCCCAGCCCCCGCCCCGGCCCCGCCCCGGCCGGGCCATCCTGCCCAGGAGCTCGGGCTTCCAAACTTCCTCCCTTATAAAGTCAGGCAGCGGCAGACACCCAGGAATGCTGCTGCTCATGACGCACGCTGACGACGGTGGGGCCACCGGGAATGGGCGGGAGCAGGGCACCAGGGGACTGACTTCCTGGGGGCGGGGGGCTCAGACAGGTGGCTGGGCCAAGACCCACAGGCTTTCTCTTCCCTGTCAAATCGCAGCTGCCCTGAAGCCTCAGTTTATCTGTCTGGAAACCCCCCTGAATGCTAACCCTGCAGAGAACTTTGGTGTCGTGAGACCCAGCACCCAAGGAGTGGGGGGCCTGGGGGTAGCTCTCTAGACCGTCCTGGGGTAGGGGTGCTCCCGGTTCTAGCCAGGGGAAGGCAGGGGAGAGGAGCCAAAGGCAAAGAAAGACCAGGAGACAAAGGAGATACGGCAGAGAGACAGGGAGAGACAGTCTGGCGGCGTGGGAGGATCGGGGTCTGCAGCACCCCCACCGCCTCCGCCCCCCGACACTAGAAGAGGCCCCGTGGCTGAGACCGGCCCGGCCACTGAGAGACCCTGGGGGGGGGGGGCTGTGCGCAGAGATGCTCCCCAGCTGCTGACAGGTAAGAGCAGGGCATCTTGAGGGCAGGAGTCACACACCCCGGGGAGGCAAGAGACACCCGCCCCACCTGCGCCCTGCCAGCGGGTGGCCTGCTGGGGACGGTGGCCCAAGCTTGTCTCCCCACCTGAGAAGAGGCTTGGCAGGGACGGACACAGGCTCCTCTGTGCCCCCCAACCCTCATCTCAGGAAGAAGGACGGAGCCACTCTGCCGGACCCAGACAGACACGCCCTGTGCATGGTCAGGAAGGCCGGGAAGCCGTGGGTTGCTCCACCTTCAGCAAACCTCGGGGATGGCCGGGCGTCGGGAGGCTGGGTGGGAACCGTCCAGGAACACATGGCCCCTTTCACGGAGTTGGGCCCAGCCGAGCCACGGCGGCGGCCCCGAGGCCCAGGGCAGGCGCGGGCACAATCGCTGCTCTGTCCGGGCAGCTCCCAGCCCACACGCGCACACATGCACAAACACACAGCCTTATGCAAACCCCAAACACCCCCAAGCAGCCACCCACATGCCCCAACACACCCGCAAGTAGACTCTACGTAGTCCCGGACACCCACCCACGACCGTCTCCTCGGCGGAGAAACCCAGGCGCGCAGCATCCCGCTGCCCCTCCCACTGACGCCAGGGCCCTTGCGGCAGCGGCCCCCGGGCTGAACGCCGGGCAGCACCCGGACAGCGCACGCCACGAACCCAGACCAGCACAGGACCTCCGGGGCTGGGAGGGAGGAGGGACGGGAAGCAGCACCCATTTTACAAAAGGTGACACGGAGGCCAGACCGGGCCCTCTCCTGGCCCAGAGGGCGGCCCACACAGCTGCTGCAGGCCCAAACTGGTGTTTCGGTGAATCCTGTGTCTTCAGCCGGGAGGGTCAGGGCAAGTCTCCAAGCAGTGAGGATGCCTCTCTCCTCCCTCGGTCGCCCTGGGACCCCAGGCAGGCCCCTGCGGCTCGCTTGGCGGCTGCTTCCTTCTCTCCCCTCCTCTGGCTCCAGCTGTTCCAGAGCCCGCACATCTCTGCTTCAGTCTGTCACTTGGCCTTGCTGCCCTTTGAAACCCCCCGCCTGCTCCTCTCTCCCAGCATCACCTCCCCAAGGAAGCCCTCTGGAACTGACTCCTAGCTCACGGCTTCATCCTGCCCTGCCTCCCCACTCACAGCTCATCTCCAGCTGTCTCCCAGGACTGGGGTTCTGGGTCCTTGCAGCTGCGGCCCATCAGAGACGGCGAGGGGCAGCAGCAGGAGACCGGGACGTGGGGGGAACGGCGCTGTCAGACTTTCCAGAACCCTGGCCAGCGAGGCCTCAGAGGCCTCTGTTAGGACAAGGGGGCCGCCTGGCCTGTGCACTTCCAGCCGCACAAGGCGGTTTGTGTGAGCGCGTCCCTGCCCAGGCCCACAGGAAACGGCAGGGCCCAGCCCCTCAATAGGCTCATTCAGACCCCAGCTCTCTGGAAAGTACCTCTACTTCCTGCCACCCTCCCACTCCGCCTGGAGGACAAGGCTAAACAGGCCGGCCCTCTCCTCTTCTGCGAGGGAGCTAGGGGCAGGTGGTTCAGGGGTTAGAGCCAGCCAGGGCATTCACTTCCGGCCTGGTACGGGCCCTAAGGCCCTGACTATGACGATGTCCCTGCATCCAGCTTCAACAGAGGAGAGTGTGAGTGGGTGTGTGGGCTCACTCCCTCCAGGGGATGGAGAGGAGCCCCTCCCCATGCACCCTAACAGGTAAAGGTTGAGCAACAGGCTTTCTGGGAGAAAGAACCCCGATTTGTAGCACTTGCCTCTTCCAGGGTATAAATACTGCCACCCACCCGGCCACATCGCCCGGAGGGCCAAACTCCTGCAAAGTTAACACTCAGCTCTTGCCAGCCGCTGTGAGCTCCGGCCTGCCCTGGTGATGCCTCCATCCTGAGGAGGCCACGCGTCCTCCCCTTCTGTCCTGGGGCTGCCCTCAGTGCCTCGAATCAATGCCCTTGGGGCACCTCGGTGGCTCCGTCAGTTAGATATATGCCTTCCACTTGGTCGTGATCCTGGGGTCCTGGGGTCGACCCTGTGTCCACTTACCTGCTCAGTGGAGAGTTTGTTTCTCCCTCTCCCTCTGCCCCCTCCCACTTGTGGTCTCTTTCTCTCCTTTTTCTCTCTCTCTAAATTAATTAAATCTTGAGGGGAAAAAAAGGAATCAATGCTTTTGCAGATGAGGTGCCCACCCCATATCCATTCTCTGGTCTGCCCCTCACTGGCACCGAGGTCTGCTGGGTCTGCTGGGCCTGGTGGTTCTGCTGGGCCTGGTGGTTCTGCTGGGTCTGCTAGGCCTGGTGGTTCTGCTGGCCCTGCTGGGCCTGGTGGTTCTGCTGGGTCTGCCGGGCCTGCTGGACCTGCTGGTTCTGCTGGGTCTGCCGGGCCTGCTGGGTCTGCTGGGCTTGGTGGTTCTGCTGGGCCTGCCGGGCCTGCTGGGTCTGCCGGGCCTGCTGGTTATGCTGGGTCTGCCAAGCCTGCTGGGTCTGCTATGCCTGCTGGGTCTGCTGGGCCTGCTGGGCCATACCCACCCAGACGGTTTTGTAGCTCTCATTCGATTCCTTTACCCTGTCAGACCAGGTTCTGGCATCGCCAGCCACTGCTGGCCAGAGGGCTAACTGGAGGGACTTCAGCTCAGCCCAAAAGGAAGAGCATGATCTTTCTTGGCCATCTCCTGGACTCTTCCGGTGGCAGCCAGTGCCACCTCCTCAGGCCAGGGACCAGTGCAAATGTGGCTGGTGCCAGGTCATCCCCAGCAAGGCCATCAGCCTGCACACAGTGCTCAGGGGAAGCCCCACAGAGACGAATCACCTTTTTAACCCAATCCAGTCTCCTGCCTTTACGAGCCCCGGACCTCTAGGGGACCGAGTCAAAATTATAATTGACCCTAATCTCTGCAAAAGGAACAAACCAGAAGTTGTGGCAGCTGGTCTGAGGTCAAGAGAGGCTAATTTGGGGAAACTTTCTGGAGGATGTGGCCTCTTAAAAAGAGGTAGTGTCCTGGGGTGGGACCAAAGGGGCCCTGCACAGCCACCACCAGCCACGGATGGAGGCCCTCTGGCCCTCTCAGCAAACCTCCCACCCTCCCAGGCCTTGTCTCTAGCTACAGACCCAGGCTGGGAAAAGCCAGCTGTAGTCGGCTATGGCTCCCCAGCCATCGTGGGAACAACAGGGCCGGATCTGACTGCCCCCCAGGGACAATCGGCAGCCCTGCGGCAGGAAGCAATACAGCGTGATGCAGGAAGCTTGGGCCCATTTGGGGTCCAGTACGTGGTCTCCATCTGGCCTCAGAGCCTTCGCTCTTTGGTGGACTTGGGCTGGCAACTGCACCCTTACCCCAAAGACACCTGGAAGAGAAGTGGGGATGGGTGGGCTGCCTGTTTCAGCACCACTGCCAGGCCCGGCCGTGGCCCCAGCCTACCCACAGAGGGAGGGCATGGCATGGAAAGCGTTGTCCAAGAACCAAAGCATGGGGCACTCAGGGATCTGTTTGGGGTAGGGATGATCCTCCTGGAATCCCATTCCTGGGGCAAAGACCACCAGGCCAGGTGACCCGGTCAGGAATGGTTTTTCCATTAGGCCCAAGAGGAACTCGGCTGAGGATGGAGAATCCTCTGGGGCCCCGGGGAGGAGAGCCAGAGCTGTCAGAGGGCCCAGGCCCCAGGAACTCCTGAGGAGGAAACCTGGTTGCTTGGAATAGGTCTGGCTTCCTTTGGAGCTAAGGCCTGGGATGCACACAAGGTGAGACTGCGCCTTCCGGCACCAGGACTGGACAGGTGAGGGGGCAGTGCCACCCAGGACCGTGAAGCTGTGCCAACACAAAACCCGCATCCTCCGCAGCACCTCTCCTCCTCCAGGCAAGGGACTGACCCAGCTCTGTCTCTCACACAGCCTCCTTCTTTGGGGAGAACCACCTGCAGGTGCCGGTGACCACAGCTCTGAGCAACATAGACCTCCGGCTACAATTCTCCACGTCCCAGCCTGAAGCCCTGCTCCTCCTGGCAGCAGGCCAAGCTGACCACCTCCTCCTGCAGCTTCACTCCGGATACCTGCAGGTCAGTGGCCTCTCCCTGCTGGACCCCTCTAGCTTGGAACAGCCCCCAGCCGGTGACCTTGTGTGAGCCCCTTTTGCCCCGGGGTCTCTAGGTCTCTGCCACGAGGTGAAGAACAGAGTCTCCCAAGGTGTGACTCCCTGGTGCAGCGGCTGTGCCCTGCAGCCCTCCACCCACACTGCCCACCACCAGCCCTGGCTGCCCCCCCTCACTGCGGGCCTGCAGTGGGCCAGCTGGCCGTCTCTCCAGCCAGGCTCTCGCTCCCCGCATGCCCCGCCTCGCCTTGAAGCCCAGCATAGACATCCCTTCCCCCAGGAGGTACCTACCCCCTGGCACTCCCCTGGGCTGGGTGCCCTATCCTGGGGCCCCGCAGCCCCTGTGAGCCCCCTGCTGAGCACCGGTCACCCCATCTGTCCGTGATGGTAACGACCAGTATCGCCAAAGCCTCTCCATTTTCCCATTTCGTCCTGCCAGTCCCGCTAGCTTTATCTGCAAGGAGTCTCCTGGCTCTCCTGAGGCTCCCCCTTAACCATGATGAATTTGAGAAACTGAGGTCTCCGCCCAAATTCGGGAAAGCCAGCTGCTTCCACACTTGGGGGGTTGGGGGGAGAGGACCGGGCCTGAGGGCGACGGTCCACCTGCCGCTGCCATGGCTTCTCTCTGCCAATAGGCAGCACTGTTGAGCAGGGCCAGGGTGCAGCCTGGGGCCAGAGCCCTTCTGTCTGACAGGTGTGACGGGGACAGGTAGGGCGATGCCACAGCCCGGGGAGCTGGGCTCCCAAGGCCGCCGTGATCAGGGCTCTGCTCTTTCAGTTCCTGTACTCTGCTTCCACCCATCCTGCCGTCCAGTAGTGGCAAGGCCACCCCAGGCCCAGTTCTGGTGCCAAAGTCCTAGAGACAGAACAGTTCTCCTCTCCCTGCGGATGCCTCACCCCAGGTCAGGGAGCTTTTCTCTACTTAACCCTCAAAACAGAGCATCTGGAATCGGACTCCCCGCCACGAGCCTGGCTGCCCCGGTGACCCCAGATGCCCTCTATGCCCGGAGTGAATTTTCTGGAGGCCAAGGTGGTTGTCTGGTGGCCCTGCCCCGTCGGAAAGCTGGCGAGGGTAAAACATACAGACTGAATCCCTAGGAGAGCATCTTGCTCTGTCACTTCTCTGATTCACATCAGGGACCCCAGAGCCCATCTGGACCCATGTTTGGGGGATAAGTAAAGAGGTGGCAGGAAGGAGGGGTCCTGGAGTGGCTCAGCAGTTGAGCGCCTGCCTTTGGCTCAGGGTGTGACCCTGGGGTCCCGGGATCAGTCCCACGTCGGGCTCCCTGCGTGGAGCCCGCTTCTCCCTCTGCCTGTGTCTCTGCCTCTCTCTCTCTGTGTGTCTCATGAATAAATAAATAAATCTTTAAAAAGACACACAGAGAGAGAGAGAGGTGGCAGGAGGCAGACAGGAGTGGCATGAGAAACCTTTGTCCCAGGACGTCTGCTCTGGGGACTCCAATGTGGCCGACCAACTATGTTCTTACAGGAGAAGCAGATCGTCCGAAGTGCTGTCCCCACTCCCATCCCTCCATCTCTCCCCAGGTCAGACTCACCCTGGGCCAGGAGGAGCTGAGGCTGCAGACCCCAGCTGAGACTCCGCTGAGCGACTCCGCCATCCACTCCGTGGAGCTGACTGTGTCAGACAGCGAGGCCTCGTTGTCCGTCGATGGGCTTCTGAACGCCTCAGCCCCCGTCCTGGGAGCTCCCCTGGAGGTCCCCTATGGGATCTTCCTGGGGGGCACTGGGAGCCTGAACCTGTCCTACCTGATGGGAGCCAGCCGGCCCCTCAGGGGCTGCCTGCACACCGCCACCGTCAACGGCCGCAACCTCCTCCGACCACTGACCCCTGACGTGCACGAGGGCTGCGCTGAAGAGTTTTCTGCTGATGACAGCGTGGCTCTGGGCTTCTCTGGGCCCCACTCGCTGGCTGCCTTCCCTGCCTGGAACACTCGGGAGGAGGGCACCCTGGCGTTCATACTCACCACTCGGAGCCGACAGGCACCCCTGGCTTTCCAGGCCGGGGGCCGGCACGGGGATTTCATCTACGTGGACATATTTGAGGGCCACCTGCGGGCTGTGGTGGAGAAGGGCCAGGGCACCGTGTTGCTCCACAACAGTGTGCCCGTGGCCGACGGGCTACCCCATGAGGTCAGTGTCCACGTGGATGCTCACCAGCTGGAAATCTCCGTGGACCAGTACCCCACACGGACTTCCAACCGTGGGATCCTCAGCTACCTGGAACCCCGCGGCAGTCTCCTCCTGGGGGGGCTGGACACAGAGGCTTCCCGCCACCTTCAGGAACACCGCCTGGGCCTGGCCTCAGGGGCCGTCAACGTCTCCCTCCTGGGCTGCATGGAGGACCTCAGCATCAACGGCCAGAGGCAGGGGCTCCGGGAAGCCTCGCTGACTCGCAGCATGGTGGCCGGCTGCAGCCTGGAGGAAGACGAGTACGAGGAGGACACCTACGGCACCTATGAAGCTCTCTCCACCCTGGCACCGGAGGCCTGGTCTGCCGTGGAGCTGCCCGAGCCCTGTGTGCCCGAACCAGGGCTGCCTCCCGTCTTTGCCAACTTCACCCAACTGCTGACCGTCAGCCCGCTGGTGGTGGCCGAGGGGGGCACAGCCTGGCTTGAGTGGCGGCACCTCCAGCCCACGCTGGACCTGAGCGAGGCCGAGCTGCGTAAATCCCAGGTGCTGTTCAGCGTGAGCCGTGGGGCCCGCCACGGGGAGCTTGAGCTGGACGTCCCGGGAGCCCAGGCACGGAAAATGTTCACCCTCCTGGACGTGGTGAACCGCAAGGCCCGCTTCGTCCACGATGGCTCAGAGGAGACCTCCGACCAGCTGATGCTGGAGGTGTCCGTGACCGCCAGGGGCCCTGTGCCCTCCTGCCTCCGGAGGGGCCAGACTTACATCCTGCCCATCCAGATAAACCCGGTCAATGACCCACCCCAAATCATCTTCCCCCACGGCAGCCTCATGGTGATCCTGGAACACACACAGAAGCCCCTGGGGCCCGAGGTCTTCCAGGCCTACGACCCAGACTCTGCCTGCGAGGGCCTCACCTTCCAGCTCCTTGGCACCGCCCCGGGCCTCCCGGTGGAGCGCCAGGAGCAGCCCGGGGAGCCAGCCACCGAGTTCTCCTGCCGGGAGCTGGAGGCGGGCGGCCTGGTCTACGTGCACCGGAGCGGGCCCGCCCAGGACCTGACGTTCCGCGTCAGCGACGGGCTGCAGGCCAGCGCTCCGGCCACGCTGCAGGTGGTGGCGGTCCGGCCCAGCATCCGGGTCCGCCACAACACGGGGCTGCGCCTGGCCCAGGGCTCCGCCGCCCCCGTGCTGCCCGCCAATCTGTCGGTGGAGACCAACGCGGTGGGGCAGGATGTGAGTGTGCTGTTCCGAGTCGCTGCGGCCCTGCGGTTCGGGGAGCTGCAGAAGCAGGGTGCAGGGGGTGCTGAGGGCGCGGAGTGGCGCCCGGTGCAGGCCTTCCAGCAGCGGGACGTGGAGCAGGGCCGCGTGAGGTACCTGAGCACCGACCCGCAGCACCGCACGGAGGACGCTGTGGAGCGCGTGGCCCTGGAGGTTCAGGTGGGCCAGGAGACCCTGAGCAATCTGTCCTTCCTGGTGACGATCCAGAGAGCCACCGTGCGGCTGTTGCGGCTTGAGCCCCTGCGCACCCACACCACCCAGCAGGAGGCGCTCACCGGCGCGCACCTGGAGGCCGCTCTGGAGGAGGGGGCGGGCCCCAGCCCCACCACCTTCCACTACGAGCTGGTTCAGGCCCCCAGGAAGGGTAACCTCAGGCTGCAGGGCGCCCGGCTGTCCGAGGGGCAGGGCTTTACCCAGGATGACCTGCAGGCCGGCCGGGTGACCTATGGGGCCACGGCACGCACCTCGGAGACCGTGGAGGACGCCTTCCGTTTCCGCGTCACCGCTCCGCCACATTTCTCCCCGCTCTACACCTTCCCTGTCCACATCGGGGGTGACCCCGACGCCCCCGTCCTCACCAACGTCCTCCTCTCTGTGCCCGAGGGAGGCGAGGGCGTCCTCTCCGCAGAACACCTGTTCGTCAAGAGCCTCAACAGCGCCAGCTACCTCTATGAGGTCATGGAGCGGCCCCGCCACGGGCGGCTGGTCTGGAGGGGGGCGCAGGACGAGGCCACCGCGGTGACATCCTTCACCAATGAGGACCTGCTGCAAGGCCGGCTGGTCTACCAGCATGACAACTCCGAGACCACGGAAGACGACATCCCCTTCGTGGCAACCCGCCAGAGTGAGGGCAGCGGCGGCCTGGCCTGGGAGGAGGTCCGGGGCGTCTTCCGCGTGGCCATCCAGCCCGTGAACGACCACGCTCCCGTGCAGACCATCAGCCGCGTCTTCCACGTGGCCCGGGGCGGGCGGCGGCTACTGACGACAGATGACGTGGCCTTCAGTGACGCCGACTCCGGCTTCGCCGACGCGCAGCTGGTGCTGACCCGCAAGGACCTTCTCTTCGGCAGCATCGTGGCCGCGGACGAGCCCACGCGGCCCATCTACCGCTTCTCCCAGGAGGACCTCCGGAAGAGGCGCGTCCTGTTCGTGCACTCCGGGGCCGACCGCGGCTGGATCCAGCTGCAGGTGTCCGACGGGCAGCACCAGGCCACCGCGCTGCTTGAAGTGCAGGCATCCGAGCCCTATCTCCGTGTGGCCAATGGCTCCAGCCTCGTGGTCCCTCAGGGGGGCCAGGGCACCATCGACACAGCCGTGCTCCGCCTGGACACCAACCTAGACATCCGCAGTGGGGATGAGGTCCGCTACCGTGTCACAGTCGGCCCACACTGGGGGCAGCTGCTCCGGGCCGGCCAGCCGGCCACAGCCTTCTCCCAACAGGACCTGCTGGACGGGGCCGTCCTCTACAGCCACAACGGCAGCCTGAGCCCGCAGGACACCCTGGCCTTCTCCGTGGAGGCAGGGCCTGTGCTCACGGATGCCACCCTGCAGGTGACCATTGCCTTGGAGGGGCCATTGGCCCCACTGCATCTGGTCCAGAACAAGAAGATCTACGTCTTCCAGGGGGAGGCAGCTGAGATCAGAAAGGATCAGCTGGAGGTAAAAGGCCGAGGGGCGAGTGGAAGTCATAGGCCAGAGAAGGGGGCCCCTTCCATCCAGCCTTCATGCCCTGTGTGCGTGGACGTTTGGGGGGTACCAGTGGGGACTCCTGGGTTGGGTGCGTGTCCGTGCTTTGGGGATGTGCCTGTACACGTGCCTGTGGCGTGCCTGACGGTCTCTGGGGAGTTTGCCTCAGAGTTATGGGGGCCTCCACCTGTCAGGTGCACACATGTGCGTGCTACGGATTCGGAGAATTTGTTTTCTAATAAATTCGTTCCCTGGGGGATTCTCCTGGGCACCTTGAGGACTGGGCCTCAGGACCTGGAGAGAGCCGCTGACCATCCAGGAATCAGAGAGCAACCAGGCCTACTGACTCGGTGGCACACGGCCGATTTCTGAGCCCCTGGTGGGTCCAGTTGCCTGGATTTGGGGCAGATGGTGGCTGGCCCTGTCTGGCATCAGAAAGGCTTGGCCTTGACAGAGGCGGCACTGGAGTCCGGCCTTGCAGAGTCTGGGGTTTCAGTAGCAGGGGATGAAAGGACAGCCCTCCAGGCAGAGGCACAGGATCAGGAATGTGAGCTGGGGGTGGTGTGTGGCCTCCTGCGGCGGGGCCATCAGGTGGGGGCATGGCGGCCCTCGCAGGCCCCAGGCCCTGTGTGCGGAGTCTGCCTCCCGAAAGGACGGAGCGCCCTCTGGTGGTGAGCAGTGGCCCCCGTGGAGGCCGGGCGGCCTGCGGGCATGGGCGAGCGGGCGGGTACAGGCTGTGGCACCCGTGAGGCCTACGTGTGTGTATACACATCAGTGCGTAGAGGAATTGTGCATCTGTGTCACCGAGCCTGGGGGTGTGACCGCGTACACCCCTTGGGGAGTGTGCATGAGTGAGCAGCCGGGGCGGGGGGTGGGGGTGGCCCGGCCGGCTGCATGTCTGGGTGTCTGAGTGAGCAGGGGTGTCTGGGGCCCTCCGGGGGGGGGGTGGCTGGGGGGCACGGTGCTGAGCCTGCTCTGGCCGCTTGGGGGCCGGCGGCCTCCCTCCATGACCCTGTGTCACGCAGGCAGCGCAGGAGGCAGTGCCGCCCACCCAAATTGTGTTCTCGGTGAAGACCCCGCCACGGGCCGGCTACCTGGTGATGCTGTCCCGCGGCGCCTCCGTGGCCGGGCCGCCCAGCTGGGACCCCGTGCAGAGCTTCTCCCAGGAGGCGGTGGACGCCGGCAGGGTCCTGTACCTCCACTCCCGCCCCGAGGCCTGGAGTGACGCCTTCTCCCTAGACGTGGGCTCAGGCCTGGGTGCGCCCCTTGAGGGTGTCCGCGTGGAGCTGGAGGTGCTGCCCACCACCATCCCACTGGAGGCACAGAACTTCAGTGTCCCCGAGGGTGGCAGCCGCGCGCTGGCCCCCCCGCTGCTCCGCGTCGCCGGGCCCTACTTCCCTGCGCTGCCCGGCCTCGAGCTGTTGGTCCTTGAGCCGCCCCTGCATGGGGCCCTGCGGAGAGAGGAGGCCCCTCAAGCGGGGACCCTCAGCGCTTTCTCCTGGAAAGAGGTACTGCTCTCAGGACTCGCTGGGGGCTGGGGGGCAGCTGGGGGGCTCTACGGCTGGGGGCATCCACCCAGAGGAAGCAGGGAGGTCGCGGTCAGGGAAGCCTCTGCTCTGGGTGCCTGCTGCTGTTCCTTCCCCTCCGGGCAGTCGGAGGACAGCCCCATTCCCGTACCTCCTGCGGCCCTTCACCCTGGGAGGAGGGGTTTTCCCCGTCTCCACCTGCGGGAATGGAAGCGCGGAGGGAGCCCATCCCTCCCACACTCAGAGGCAGAGCACGAGGGGTGCCAGGGTCGAGCCCGTGCCGCCCTCAGGCCTGCCAGGGCCTGGCCTTCAGCCTCGGGCCTGCCCACAGGTAGAACAGCAGCAGATCCGCTATGTGCACGACGGGAGTGAGACGCTGACAGACAGCTTCACCCTAGTGGCTAACGCCTCCGAGCTGGACCGCCAGAGCCACCCTGTGGCTTTCACCATCACCGTCCTGCCCATCAATGACCAACCGCCCATCCTCACCGCAAACACAGGCCTAACGGTGAGAGCAGCTTGGGATCACCTCCCACCTCCCGCCCAAAGAGAGGCCCAGCACAGAGCTCCCCGCCCATGAGCCCCAGTCGCTTTCTCCAAGTGGGGACCGTGCCACATGCCTCTAGGTGGTGGGGAAGAGCTATGGCACTGAAAGTAGGGCACAGGTGTGAGACTTGGTTGTTGAACACTTAGAAGTGCGGCAGGCAGTCTCGTGAATGGCCATCCTTGGCCCTGCCCTTCCCTGGACTCACCCTCAGCTGCAGGCTTTTTCTGTGGCTCAGGACCAGACCTCCTGAAGAAAGTTCTGTCAGGCCCTAAAGGGCGGATCCAGGTGGAGCGTGGTTAAGCTCCCCACTTCCACCCACAGCAAGGGACGGCCACAGCTTGGCTTCCCGAGCCCCTGCCCTTCACATCACCCCAGAATGGTGGTGCCGTCACTCAGCAGAAGCCAAAGCTGAGGCCCAGGCAGGTCACAGCATTTCTCCACAGTCACAGAAGTAGTTACGGGGGAACGGAAAGGGCACGGCGTGGCCAAGATCACACGAGATGGTGGACGGGCAGGGCCTGATGGGCACCGGACGCCTTTGATGGCAGAGGGTGTGGCTGTGGGGAGTGGTCCAGGGGTGGGGCAGCCCGCAGAGCAGTGGGGGTGCGGCTCGGGGCCGGAACCACAGGCCGGTGCTGCTGTGTGGCCCCTTGGCCACCAGGTGATGCTGTCCACAGCGTTTGCGCAGGAGCCCCGCGCTGAAGCCCCATCTCTGCGCTGAAGCCCCATCTCTGCGCACCGCACCGTGCTCCCCCCTCCAGGACTCGGCGGGGGGTTAGCCTGGGACTGAGAGAAGGTCCCTGGGATCCCGGAGGGCTCGGTTTCCTGGGGATGGGAGCCCCTCCCCAAGGCAGCCCAAGGTCCTGACCCAGCTGGGGCCATGTAACAGGATCCCAGAAACGGGATCCTGCCCTGCTGGCAGGTTGGAGGCCCAACAGGGGCTCCTCTTCCCTCTGAGCCTGGGGTGGGGCTGCCCGCACCCCTCCCTGACCTGGGTGGGCCTCGTGACCGCGCTGAAAACACGCGAGCCTTTGTCACGTGCTGCTTCCAGGCCACGGACAGGGGCCAAGCATCAGCCTTTCCCATCCCAAGCCTCCTGTCCTTCCCTCACCTGGAAAGGGAGTGCGTTTATCACCGTCTTGGGGACGCGAGCCTCACCATTCCCGTAGTGTGCCCAGCCCGTCCCCAGACCCACGTGCTCAGGAGGCAGGGCCAGACGGTCGGCGCTGCCGCGGGTCGGGGCTGGGGGTTCTGCGGGGGGCGGGGGGAAGCCTGATGAGGGAAGAGCCGGGGGCTGGCCTCACAGGACAAGCAGGATCAGGGCAGAGAGAAGGGAGCCTGGGCCTGGGGTGGCAGGGGAAGGTCACTGGGCTGGAGGGGCCCTTGGGAGGGGGAGCCCAGGAGGATGCGGGCCTCGGTGACCGCCCAAGGCCTGAGCTGAGCCAGTGGGAGTGCTCTGCTTGGCGGGGACGGAACCCTCACGGGCCTGTGTCCCCAGATGTGGGAGGGGGCCACCGTGCCCTTCCCTCCGGAGGCCCTGAGGGGTGCAGATAGCGACTCGGGCCCGGAGGACCTGGTCTACACCATCGAGCCACCCAGCAATGGGCAGGTGGTGCTGCGGGCAGTGCCAGGCACTGAGGTGCACAGCTTCACGCAGGCCCAGCTGGACGACGGGCTCGTGCTGTTCTCACACAGAGGTGGGTACCGCCGGCTGGGGCGCCTGCGGACGGGGACCCGCGGGGGCCAGCGAGACCCACTCTACGCCCGTCCTCAGGAGCCCTGGATGGAGGCTTCCACTTCAGCCTGTCCGACGGCGAGCACACTTCCTCCGGACACTTCTTCCGCGTGACGGCCCAGAAGCAGCTGCTCCTCTCCCTGGAGGGCAGCCGGATGCTGACTGTGTGCCCAGGTGGGTCTGCCCGGCGCACTTGCCTCGTGGGCCCCGGGGCCCGGCCAGTCACGCTGCCCCCGCAGGCGCACAGCCTCGCCCTGCCTCCCGGTCCGAGGCCAGCGGGGCCCTGATGTGTCTCGCAGGGTCGGTCCAGCCGCTCAGCAGCCAGAGCCTGAGAGCCAGCTCCAGTGCCGGCACCGATCCGCAGCACCTGCTCTACAGGGTGGTGCAGGGCCCCCGGCTGGGCCGCCTGCTCCGCGCCCAGCAGGGCAGCACCGGGGAGGTCCTGGTGAACTTCACGCAAGCCGAGGTAGGGCCCCGCCTCTACAGCCGCCACTAGACTCCCTGCGTCCTGGGAGCCACTGTCATCAGATGCCCGGGAGGGGGAGGGGACAGGACCAGGCCTTCGGGGTTCCTCCCCCCACCCATGGAGCTTTCCGCGCACCCCAACATGATGGGATGAAAGGGAATGGCCACCAGGGGGCCAGGCTGGCAGTGCCACCCAGGGAAGCTGGGAAATGGCTTCGTGGCAGAGACTTTGTCCTGGCTTGGGGGCAGGGGACAGGGCAGGACTGGGTAGTGTCTCGTGTCTCGACAGCACCACTGTCCTGCAGTATTGAGTTGGGTGGGGCAGGGATCGGGTGTCCTGTTTTGCAGATAAGGAAACTGAGGCTTACGGAGGTCAGGCGACAGTCCAGAGCATGTGGCCAGTAAGAGGCAAAACCAGGATTCCGGCTGCTAACTACTAGTCCAGGCTTTCTCTCACCAGGGCATGCTTGCTCCCGGAGCTCAGAGACCCCTCCTCGTCCTGCCTGTGACTTGGCTCACCCCAAGACACCTCCCGTCCCCGGGCATCCATCCTCCCACCCCACTCCTGGGGGTCTGTCTCCACTTCCTTCCTGCCACCCTTCAGCCTGGGCCAGAGGTTACAGCTGACAGTCCTTGTGGGTCACATCTGGCCCACAGATGTGTTGTATTTGGCCTGCACAAGACATTTAGTCTTTTAAAATTAATGGTCAACATATAACCTTTGGAGGATTTCACACACACACACACACACACACACACACCACACACACACGCATGCAAAAACCTGATCTCCAGTTTCTTAAAAGGCTCTGTTCCCTCCTACAGCAATCAGCTGAGGAGCAACCTCCCCTTTCCCCCAGGTTCTGCTCCCTCGTTAGAAGGATGGTGATCCCCTATTAGCTGGTGATTCCCCCATTAACGAGTGGGTGGCTCCCCTTAGATGGGGCACTGTCCTCCAGTTCCTCACTACCCTGCGGTCCTAGAGCCTCGGTCCTAGAGCCTCCCACACGCTGCGACCCCAGTTTCCGGCTTAGTATTGTGCAAGCCCTGTTTTTCTGCGAAGCAATAGATCCCCCTCTCCTAAATGGGGAAAACAAAAGATAAGCCAAGAGGACACATTTGGATTAGCAGGGGAAGGGAGCATACTTTTTTTTTTTTAAGATTTTATTTATTTATTCATGAGACACAGAGAGGCAGAGACACAGGCAGAGGGAGAAGCAGGCTTCCTGCAGAGAGCCTGACGCAAGACTGGATCCCGGGACCCCGGGGTCACGACCTGGGCTGAAGGCGGGTGCTCAACTGCCAACTGCTGAATCCCCCCCCCCCCCGGGCTGCCCAGGGCCGTACTTCTTTAAGGGAGTGAGGAAAAGCCCTAAGTGTGTAGCGTGCAAAGAGCCCCGGAGAACAGCAAGTGTGGCAGGATGGTTAGGAGGTGAGGTGGCAGGGGCAAGGGGTCAGAGTGGGATCTTTGCGGTCAAATGAGGGGCCACCTGTACTCTCAGAGGAAGACTCACAGTAATCTCACATCTTAAAAGGCTCACGCTTGCTTCTGTGTTAAGAACAACCATGGGGGGCGGGGGGCACCTGTGTGGCCCAGTCAGTTAAGCATCTGCCTTCAGCTCAGGTCATGATCCCGGGGTCCTGGGGTGGAGCCCCACATCTGGCTGCCTGCTTCTCCCTCTGCCCCTCCCCCTGCTCGTGTGCTTGCGCATACTCTCTCTCTGTCAAATAAATTTAAAAAAAAAACAAAAACAAAAACAAAAACCGCAGGGGGAGGGAGCGGGGCCCAAGCTGGGGCACAGGAGGCTGTGGCGATAATCTAGGCCAGAAGTGATGGTGTGTAAGAGAGGGAGGAGTCAGGCATGACTCCAGGGGTTTGGGACTGAGCCACTGGAAGAACAGGGCAGCCATCCCGTGAACTGGGAAGACTAGGAGAGGCGCACGGGTCAGGAGCCTGCTAGGTGCAGGCTGGCTTGGAGGCCTCCCTTGGATATCCCCACGCAGCTGCCAGGAAGCAGACACGTGAGTCTGGAACCTGGGAGAGAGCACTCCGCGGTGGAGGTCGACGGGGGTTATCCGCAGAGCTGACCTGGGGGGCATGTGGCTGAAGGAGGAACACGGGGGATGTGTCTGTAGGTAGAGAGGACTCTAAAGGCCAAGGTGTAGACGTTGGGGAGAAGGGGGGGCACCAACAGAGGCAGGAGGAACCATGAGGGTGGGACGCGCTGGGAGCCAGTGGCTGTTAGAGGAAGGAAGGCACAATGATGCCAGACGCTGCCAAGCAGGAGAGTAACGCAAGGCCCACGGACTCACCAAAATCCTGGACAGAGCGCTCTAGGGACAGCATGGGGGAGATCACAGACTATTCTTTTGGGAGTTTTGCTGTAAAGGAGAGCAAAATGGGGGGAGGCATGACAACATTGGTGGAAAAAGTGAAGTCACAAGTCTTTAAGATGGAAGAGAGGGGGCGCCTGGGTGGTGCAGTTAGTCAAGCATCTGAGTCTTGGTTTCAGTGCAGGTCCTGATCCCAGGGTCCTAGGATGGAGCCCACCTTGGGCACCGTGGTTGCTCTCTCCCTCTCCCTCTCTCCCCTGCACGTGCCTGTGCTCTTGTGCATACGCTCTCTCTTTCTCAAAAAGTTGAAAAAAAAATTAATCTTTAAAAGAAAAAAAGATGGAAGAGAGAACAGCATGGCTGAGTCATGATGGCAATGTTCTCTTTTGCGGGGAAATCATCACCGTAGAAGAAAGAAGGGCAATGGTAAAACTGGTGTCTTCAGGGCGGGAAATGGGCAAAACGGGAAGGACCAGCTGTGGAGACCCTCGCCCATAGGGCATCGCTTTCCCTAGGGGCTCAGAGAGGCCAGGTGGTTTGCCTGAGGTTGCAGGGCGCAGAGGTGACAAGGCACCTGGCTGCAGAGCCAGCCTCCTCACTGCCAGCGGCGACCCAGCAAGCTGGTGAGGGCGGCCTGGGGTTAGGGACCCACAGCCAGGTATAGGCCAGAGCGGAGAGTGAGGCTGGACACCGGGGACCTGTGTGCGCCACGTGCGGAAGCTGCCTCTTCTTTCAAAATGCGCCCCCATCCCTGGGTGGCTCAGCGGCTTAGCGCCTGCCTTTGGCCCAGGGCGCGATCCTGGAGTCCCGGGATCGAGTCCCACGTCCGGCTCCCTGCCTGGAGCCTGTTTCTCCCTCCTCCTGTGTCTCTGCCTCTCTCTCTCTCTGTCTATGATAAATAAATTACTTAATTTTAAAAAATGCGTCCCCGTGTCCCCGCAGGTATACGCGGGGGATGTTGTGTATGAGCACAAGATGCCTGCTGAGCCCTTCTGGGAGGTCCACGACGCCCTGGAGCTCCGGCTGTCCTCGCCCCCCGCCCCCGACGTGGCCGCCACCCTGGAGGTGGCCGTGTCCTTCGAGGCCGCCTGCCCGCAGCGCCCCAGCCGCCTCTGGAGGAACGAGGGTGAGCAGCGGGATGGGCCACACAGCGGCGGGTGAGGGCGGGGACGCGGGCGCGGGGCACGGTCGGTCCCCAGGGCGCGCTGGAGAGGGGACAGGACCCCTGTCCTCCGGGGCGCCTGGTCCGACGGCCTGCGTCCCCCCGCAGGTCTCTGGGTGGCCGAGGGCCAGCAGGCGGACATCACCAGCGCCGCCCTGGACGCCTCCAACCTGCTGGCCCGCGTCCCCCCCGCGCTGCGCGCCCGGCACGACGTGCTGTTCCAGGTGACGCGGTTCCCGGCGCGGGGCCGGCTGCTGCTGGCGGGGCGGGCGCTGCACGCGGGCCGGCCGCACTTCCTGCAGTCGGAGCTGGCGGCGGGGCGCCTGGCCTACGCGCACGGCGGCGGGGGCGCGCAGCCCGACGGCTTCGGCTTCCGCGCGCAGCTGCAGGGCCCCGCGGACGCCGGGCCGGGCGCGCTCCCCGCGCTCCCCGCGCTCCCCGACGAGGCCTTCGCCGTGCGCGTGGGGGCCGCGGCGGCCGAGCCGCTGCGCCTGCCCCGCGGCTCCCGCGCGCCCGTGTCCCGCGCGCAGCTCCGCGTGCAGCTCCCGGGCGCCGCGCCCGCCGACGTGCAGTACGAGGTGCGGCGCGCGGCCCCCGGCGGCTTCCTGAGCCTCGCGGGCGCGGGCGCGGGCCCGGTGCGCCGCTTCTCGCAGGCCGACGTGGACGCGGGCCGCCTGGCCTTCGTGGCCAACGGCAGCAGCGTGGCGGGCGTGCTGCAGCTGAGCGCGTGGGCCGGCGCCAGCCCGCGCGTGCCCGTGGCGCTGGCCGTGGACGTGCTGCCCGCCGCCATCGAGGTGCAGCTGCGCGCGCCCCTGGAGGTGCCGCAGGCGCTGGGGCGCTGCGCGCTCGGGCCGCGGCAGCTGCGCGTCGTGTCGGACCGCGCCGAGCCCGAGGCCGCCTACCGCGTGACCCGGGCGCCGCGCTTCGGGCAGCTCCTGGTGGCCGGCAGGCCGGCCGGCGCCTTCAGCCAGCGGCAGGTGGACCGCGGCGACGTGGAGTTCGCCTTCACCGACCTGTCCTCCCCGCGCGACCGCTTCGCCGTCCTGGCCCACGCGCGGGGCGCCAACGCCTCGGCCACGGTGGACGTCACGGTCGCGGCGCTGCTGCGGGTCGGGCCCCGGGGGCCGTGGCCGCAGGGCGCCACCCTGCGCCTGGACCCGGCCGTCCTGGACGCCGCCGAGCTGGCCAACCGCACGGGCGGAGAGCCGCGCTTCCGCCTGCTGGCCGGGCCCCGGCTGGGCCGCCTGGTGCGCGTGGCCCGCGCGGGGCCGGAGCCCGTGGAGCAGTTCACGCAGCGGGACCTGGAGGGCGGGAGGCTGGGGCTGCAGCTGGGCCGCGCCCCCGGCCCCACGGGCGACAGCCTCACGCTGGAGCTGTGGGCGCCCGGCGTCCCCCCGGCCGTGGCCTCCCTGGACTTCCACACCGAGCCCTACGACGCAGCCCGACCCTACGGCGTGGCCCTGCTCAGCCTCCCCGAGGAAGCCGGGGGACCCGACAGCGGCGCCGCTGCCACGGGCCAGCCGGGCGCACCCGGCCCCAGCCCTGGACCCACCGCGGCCAGCGGCGGCTTCCTGGGCCTCCTGGAGGCCAACATGTTCAGCATCATCATCCCCGTGTGCCTGGTCCTCCTGCTCCTGGCCCTGCTCCTGCCGCTGCTCTTCTACCTGCGCAAGCGGAACAAGACGGGCAAGCACGACGTCCAGGTGCTGACCGCCAAGCCCCGCAACGGCCTGGCCGGCGACACCGAGACCTTCCGTAAGGTGGAGCCGGGCCACGCCATCCCGCTCACGGCCGTGCCCGGCCAGGGGCCCCCGCCAGGCGGCCAGCCTGACCCAGAGCTGCTGCAGTACTGTCGGACACCCAACCCCGCCCTCAAAAACGGCCAGTACTGGGTGTGAGGCCTGGCCCCGGGCCCTGATGCAGATCAGGCCAGGGACAGGCTCGCTCGGGCCCCGGCCCCATCGCTCCCGGGCCCCCGGGGGCTGCTGAGCATCCCCCAGAGCCGGAGACACCCGGGGACGTCCGGGGCGGGCGGTGCCGCAAGGCAGTCCCAGGGGCCCGGCACCAGGCAGCGGCAAGAGCCGGGGTCTCCCCAGCCTTCTCCACGCCTGGAGAATTGCGAGGGGGCCGAGGTCAGGGCCTGGAGTCTGTCCCCCTGCCGGGAGCCGGGTTGAGCTGTCAAAACCAGGGTGACCTCCTAGATATGTCAGGACTCTGGATCCTGGGCCTGTGATCTTCGGTAAGTCACAGCTGACCTGGGCTGCCAAGAGGGCAAGGAGAGGACGGGGCGGGGGGTGGGGTGGGGGGGACAGACGGGGACTCCCAGCTTTCCCACACCAGGCCAGGCCTCCCTTTGTTTCTGCCCCAGAGTTGACAGGAAAACTTTTTCCCCTGGTTTTTTAGGGAGATGGTATTCCCTGGAGCAGAGGGCAGGAGGAGGGAGCCTCTCCCCTCTCTAGGAGACATAAGCCAGTAGAATAATATATTCAGGGTGCAAAACGGGGTGGGTTGCTCTGGGGCTGGGTTTATTTAAGGGGGACTGCCGGGAAGCTATTTAACACAGTGTCGAGCTAGCCCAGACCCATGGAGCCCCTGAGAGTGTGGGATGGAGGAAGGTCTGAGGCCGCTTCATACCCAGAGCCCAACCTTGACAGGCTGAGGGCTCGGGAGGCCCCGTGGATCTGTGGCCATACTGGGGCCAGGCCAGGGGCCACTGCAATGCCTGCGCTCCCCCCGAGGACCCTGCGCTCCCCGAGGACGGGGTGCGAGCAGTTGGGCGCACTCAACTCCATGAGGCTTGGATAAATGGTGCTGTGGAGGTTCTGGACAGCTGTGTGTTGTTTGTCTGACCATGCACTGGGCCCTTCCTTGCCCACACCGGCCTGCACTCCCCTGGGGCAGGCCATCACCCGGGCCTCTGCCGGCAGGCTGCACAGGGCCACGGGAGCCCCCAATTTCCACCTCCGGGGGCCTTTCAAATCTCCTCTGCCCCCACCTGTGTAGGAAGGTGGGCCGGTCTTTATGGGATGGGACTAAAGCCCTTTGGTTTAGTGGAGAGAAGCTAGGCCCCCTCTGAGAAGTTCAAAGAAACCGTGAAATCAGGAGATGTATTCAGTGTCCTGGGCACAGATTTCTTGGCCCGAGTTTTGGCCTCCACAGCCTCGACCCTTTCCACCTACCTCTCAAGAGATTGGAACAGCAAAGGTCAGGAGACTGAGGGGGACGAAGGGATCCCACGGCTGGGACCTGGTGTGTGGGGGAGGCTGCAGGGACCGCCACAGGTGCCTTCCCTTGGCTCCCTGGACGTGTTCACAAGGAAGATTTCTATTGCTCTCCACCCCCACAACAAGACCGAGGGTGCTCCTTCTCTAAGGTAGGGTAAGCAGCAAGGATTCTGAAAACCCCACTGTCCCGAGAGGCCATCATCTGGCTAGAGATGGGTTTGAGATACAGGGTCCCCAGATGACCCTCTACGAGCTGCTAAAGAGCCACCACCTCCTGCCCCTCTTCCTTCGAGGGTTGTGGGCAAGAAGGACAGATTCTGGATCCCAGGTGATCCCGCCCCAGCAGGAAGCTGAAGTCTTCAGGGGAAAAGCAGCATGGGAGGTGTCTGAGCTCTGGGGTCGGGAGCCCAGGGCCTGAGCACAGTCAGATTGGCGGTGGAGAGCCCCAGCCAGCCCCTGACAGCTGACCGGTGCCTCTATCTGTAACATCTGAACCAGGAACTAGGGCAAGAGAGGAAATTCCCTCTACCCCCTGTGCTGCCCCTAGCATGCCCTGCCAGGAAGCTTCCCAGCACCCCCTTCACATCTCGGCATCCCCCGAGGCCCTCCTCCGCTCACAGGATTTGGGCAGGTCACGCATCGCGGTATATATCACTGCTCAGAGGGCCCTTGGAGGACCAAGGGCAGGCCGAGAATCAGAGCGGGTTGGGTGTCGTACAGCCACACCGCGGGGCAGCCCTTAGAACAGACTAGACCTCAGGGCCCAGCCGACTCTTCTTGCCACACTGATGAGCCTGCCCCCAGAGACCGCGGCCAGGGGTCCCCGTAGATGGGGCAGCTCGAAATCCTGGCCTGGCTCCCTGCTACAGCCTAGGCTCCCCGGCACCCCTGGGGCCAGCCTCATGCAGGGGGCCCTGCCAAGGACGTCTCCGTACCACACCCCATGTGCTCCTGGAGCTTGGGGCCGTTGGGGCCGGATCCTAGGGCCCCAGTATCTGGCACCAGTCCCCACCAGGGCGACTAGTTTCCCCGGGAGTGTAAGCAGAGACCTGGGTGACAGACCCGCCAGGCAGGATCTGGCCTCATCTCCGGTTTCCACCCCCCCCGCCCCCCTCCCGGGACTGACGACACCCTCTCTGTTGGCCCAGCGCAGCCACCACCCCACCCCCCCCGCCAAGGGAGCTGGCACAGGCTGACACTGCTCCAGCTCCCTGCGGCCGTGCTGGACGGGGCTGGCACGTAGGGCGCCGTGCATGCGGCTCCGCGAGGACCGGGGACGGGGTCTTTCACCGGAACAGCGGCCTTGGATCCCACTCTAAACGTGGGGCTCAATTTTCGTAAATCCCTCGCAGGCCTCAGATGCGCTTCCAGGGCCTAACGGGATTGCTATCCACTCTGCCAAATAACCGCTGCCCCTCACTCTAAGAAGCTGTCTCCTCCCAGGCACGGAGAGAGGAGCCCAACCTGTGCACAAGTGTTTAGGGATATCTGGGAGCCGCTGACCCTCTTACACACACACACACACACACACACACACACACACACACTGCACTTCTGCACGGCTGGGTACCTTTAGACCTTCAGACATAAACACCCACCTATGCCATAGGTACACGCACGCGTATGCAGGTACACACCAAACTTCGGACACAAGTACTCCTCACTCGTGGCCCGCAGTCCGCAGAGCTGGCCGCGTGGAGCCAAAGGCTAGGTAGGAGTCCTTGACCATCCAGAGACCCAGCCCGACCTCAGCAGAGCCAAGAAGTGGAACTACAGCAGGAGGGGTGCTAGTGGAGGGGTGCAGGGAACAGGGTAGGGAGGGCCCAGGTCTTGGAAGTCCTGCCCACCATCCTAAACGCTTGAACCTCTTAGATGCTAACAAAGGGGCTCCCTGTGAGCCCCCCTCCTTGTACTAGGAGCTGGCCCTTTAAGTGGAGTTGCTATGGCAGCTGTGAAACCCACGGAGCCAGAACCATCCGCCTCCAATAGGAAGCAAGAGAACTGGATCTCTCCCCCGTCCCTGCTCCACCTCTCCTGACTGGGGGGGCGGGGGGGAATGCCAGGGCGCTGGCATCTTCCTCTGGGCCCTGCAGATTCAGGACCCTAAAGGAGTGGAGGCACCAGGGCAGCCCCCAGACTTCTCTGGGCAGGTCCTGCTCCTTGCCAGAACACGGGAGGAAGCCTTGGATGGAGCCAGGATGGGAACCTGACCTGCTGGACCCCTTTCCCCACAGCCCCCTCCTAGCCGAGTCTCTCCTGGTCAGTGCCATCCCTGTACAGTTACTGCTAGGATTAGGCGGGCATTGGCAAGGGCATCCTATGCCCAAAGATGCTGTGGGAGATGCACCCCCAACCCACCGAGTCTACCCAGACGTGCCCGTGGGTAACTAGCACCCCATGGTGTGTGCCCTAAACCCAGGCATGCCAGCTGGCCGCCGGGAGAGGCCCAGAGTGGGAAGGCAGCTGGCTCTGAGAGTGCTGGGTCTTCTCGCGGTGGGGCAGCCACGCGGCTGCTAATGCTGAGCATGCCCCCTCCCTCCTGGCCGGCGCCTGTGCGTCCCGAGGTACAGTGTCTAACTCATTAAGGATGCCAGCTCCGCAGGGGCACCCGGGTGGCTCAGTCAGGTAAGCATCCAACTCTGGATTTTGGCTCAGGTCATGATGTCAGGGTGTGAGATCAAGCCCCAAGTCAGGCTCCACGCCGAGCACAGAGCCCGGTTAAGATTCTCTCCCTCTCCCTCTGCCCTTCCCCCTCCACACATGCTCCCTCTCTCTCTAAAAAAAAAAAAAAAAAGCAAGCCACAGCCTCAGAGGGCCAGCAGGATAAGTGGATAAGTGTGGGTTGTGCTGCGTTCCGTCACAATGCAGAGGTCGCAGGACCCCCTAAAGACAAAAGTAACTCTTGGTTAAATCAACCAGTGGCCAACAAGGGACTTTCCTACCCAAACACAGCCTCAGTGGAGGGCTTGAGGGGCTCCCATGCCCCCCAACCTGGGCACTCCCAGCTCTGTTAGCCCAAAGCCTAGAGCTAATACCAAGGCCTCATGAGGTCACAGAGGGCTCAAGCGACCCAGTCTCTGGGTCCTGAAGGCCCAAACTAGATGGGTTGTCAAAGGCTTTGTTGCTCAAAGTGCAGTCCATGGACCAGGAGCATCAGAAGCACATGGGAACTTTTAGAAATAAGAACTCCTGGGACACCCGGCTGGCTAGTCGGATGGGCATGCGACTCGATCGCAGGGTTGTGAGTTCGAGCCCCACCTTAAGTGGAGAGATTACTTATAAATAAAATCCTTAAAAAAAAAAAAACAAGAAAGAAAGGAAATGAAATGAGGTCTCTCAGGCCTCACGCTAGATCTGCTGAATCAGACTCTGCATTTTAACAAACAGTAGAGTTTAAGACACATGGACTTAAGTCCTCCCCCTTGACCTCTAATTGAAGAAACGGAGCTGCAAGAGGCAGGGACCGGGCCAAGATCATAGTAAGTCAGTGACAGAGCTACAAGGAGGTCGGACCCCATGATCCAGGGCCAGAGTTCTGTCTGCCAGTGCGAGCTGTCCATCCTTCTTCCCCACACTCTTCTGAGGTCCCTATAGCCCCTGCAGATTTGGGGGATAGGGTTCTGCTGTGGGGGTTCCTGCTCTAGGGGCCTCCACTGAGGGCAAGAGGGAAGCAGAGGACGAGGCTGGTAGCCAGGTCTGATCCAGTGGGGAGGGTCTGCAGAAGAAGCCCGCTCCCTTCCTTACCTCCCAAAGACCAGTTCCCTGGAGAGGGCGGGAGCCCCCTACCACCCTGCCTT